TCTCTGTGCAGCAGGTAGCGTATTGCCCTCTGGTGTCGCATCCCGGTATCCTCTGAAGCGCTAATACGTCTTTCTGCCTCCGTAGTTCTTTTTTCAAGTTTAGTCATTTCTCCTTTGAGTTCTTGCATGGAGGATTCAAGTTTTGTCAGCGACTGCCTGGTCTGCTTGTGTCCGTCTCGATTTTTTCTTCCCTTAACTTCTCCAAGTTCCAATATTTTAGACTCGTGGTTGGCTAGGGGCTATTCACTTGCTGCGCCACTCGGAGTCTGCCTTAAAGTTAGCTGCCTCAAATTTTCGTTTTTGTCATTCGTGTGTTCCTGTTTTGAGCCTTTGCCTCTCACAGAACTTGCCATGTCGAGTTTGTATAAATTTGCCGAGTTTTAAGTAGTTTTGTTAGGAAATTAACAGTTAACCGACGGAGCTCTGTTTTAAGCTACTGTCTCCAACATGGCGTCACCGGAAGTCCGAACAGTCCTTTTTTAAAGCCAATGTGACCGCTTATCATAATCTGTTTAGAAATGCCACATTCAAATCATTATCCACAGGGGATATCACATTGTTGGGTTGTAGATGATATTCTAAGATGAATCTGATACAGTTTTTTAGTCAGTATATATTGTTTTCCCATGAAACTGTGTTGTTAAGATTATTCATTTTGTTGAACTCGTACCAAAGCTTTTCAGATTGTTAAATATAGTATCAGGTCAACAGTAGTCATAAAAGCAGTTAACAAGAGGTTTCCATTTCTCATGAAGCAACAGGACGTGATTCCTAACTGTTACATAATATATGTTGTATTTGATTTAATCATAAAATATCTGGTTCCTCTGGCTCCTCCTAGTGCTCCTAATGGTATTTGCAAGAATCCACCGGGCCCAAATTAAAAACACCTAATCATGTCTGAATTTTGCTATGTCTATATTATACCTATGCCAGTCTCATTTAGGTTTAAACACCTGTAAATAGTCTGATGGTTGGCCATTTAGCTTATATAGCTTATTCTAATCAATTATTTAACTTTTCATTTGGTCCAGTAAACCCAAATGACTGTCATTCTGTCAATCAGTAAAACAGATTCTACTGGTAACTATAATCAAGATTAGTTCTTCCATCTTGTCCATGACCACTTTTTTCAAAATGTTTCTCTTTTGGTTTCTTTGAATAGGAAAGAATTTGCTGAGTTGCTAGAGAAGTATGGGTCTAATGGCAGCACAGGATCAACACGCAACTCTCCTATCCAGCAAGGTAGGCAAATCCCTGCGTTGTCCAGATATATTACGTTTTTTCCACAAGCAGTCATTGTATTTTAATGTTATAGATCTCCTGCTTATTTGAATTTCTTTGTTTCAAAACATAAAATGCCTCAGCATATTGCATCATGTATGTATACAGTTCTATGTAAAACAAACCCCAAGAGTCTATATTTGACAGAGCGATAAGCCTTAAGGGTAGCTGGAGCAAGTCTGCCTTTAAAAATGGGTTATGACAAGTGCACTTGTCCATTACACAATTTTCAACATCTGTTTCAGTCGGTAAGGAGGCAGCCAGCTGGTACAGATTTGTTAAAACACAGCTTCAGCATGTGTGCAGTCTTGTGTGTTCTGTGCTCAATGATGACATGGTAAGACAATTTACTATAGGGGCAGTTATGCTTAAAAAAACAATTTACATGACGTGTTGATCACCAGAAATCAAAGGTTTATAGTTGGGGAGACCAACATGGTGGCAAGCAAGTAGGACGCGTTAAGCCCAAATTTTGTATTTAACTATATATAATGTTGTAAAGTTTGGATTATTATTTAAGATTTTACCTTTAAAGACCTGAACACAAGCTATGTTTACAGAGCCTTCACTCTCTGATAAATGGCTTAATTTTGTCAAAGTTGCATTAGAACAATGGCCAAGTATCAGGGGAATAAAACACTGAATTGGTCCTTAAAGGAAAAAGGGTTGGGAACCAGTGGTCTAAACAATAATAATGTAATAGCTCACAAAATGTATTTTCAACTAATTTTATCGAAGAATCCATGACATCCTCGTGTACTGCAGAATTTCAGCATGAAAAAGCTCCCCACTGTGAGATTTACCTTAGGAACTAAGGATAGGAAAGAAGCAGATGTTTACCCCAGGCAGTGGATGAAAAATACTGAAAAAAAATGTGTGGTGGATATTCGGGCTGCTCGGCAGTTGTTTTGGTCAGCATATTGGGTATTATTCAGTGCTTAGAGTTGCTCAGGCTTAAGAAATGTTCAACAGGACGATACAGGTTCAGTGGAGAGCCTCAGTGCCACTGGAGCCATCTGTAGCAGCAGCAAATCACTGAAGGTTTCTATTTCACTAAAGACTGAAATTTGTGAAATGTTTATTCCCTGCACTAGTCTTTTTATAGAACACATATTAAGAGACCATTATGCTTGCTTGCTCATCTCATCTCATCTAAATAATTACTTAATCTCTCTCCATTTTAACAATTGTTGATTTTACACTCAGCCAAGCACTGATTAAACGACTGTAACTGTAACTCTATGTAATTTTGTGTTTCTGTTCTTTCTTGCCATTCCAAAAGGAGGCCGCTACCTGGATAGCACATCATCTGGTTCCTCATCTCGCTCCCAGAGTCCTTTGTTGTTGAGCCCAGCAGGCTCTCAGAACATGTACAACAACAGTGGGTCCATGCTGCGCTCCCTCAGGTAGGAATAGTTTTCACAGGATTCACATGAGCCGCAACACTACTCTCCTGTTGTCAAGAGACCGAGTTGGCAAGTTGTGGTCAGCAAATATTGAACACAGTGAATGCGCTGAACCCAGATATACAAACTAACTCTTTTGTAGATTTCAGAGAAAGTTAACAGTGCAGAGTAAATGGTACACACCTGACCCGTGAGCAAGAGTGTGACAAATAATTACAGTTTTTTGGCTGCTTCATTGTTTTTTTTTATAAAGATCCCTACATTTTTTGTTTCAGTAATTGAGCCTTCCTAAGTACCGCCCATTTTTTCTCCGTGCTGCAGTGACAGTTGAGCAAACCTCAGTCAACTCCCTTCTTTCCTGTACTTATGCTATGTGCTAGGCTTGTCTACGTTGAAAAGACAACCACATTTTGAAGATGGTTAAAAGATTAAGTGACATGGTCACATTTTAAGTTAGCTAATGTTAGCAAAATGCTAACTAACTAGCTAGCTCATATATATTAATTGTATGCTAGCTAGTTATCTGGTTAGTTAGCTAGTGTTTTACTCTGAAGCAAAATGTTAGTTAACTAGCTATCTTAAGATTACCTAACCTAACCTTACCTAAGACTAATACCCTACTGTATATGTTGCTTTTATCTTTTAACCATCTTCAAAATTTGGTTGCCTTTTCAACATGGACAAGCCTAGCACACAGCAGTACAGGGGTCAGTTATGACCAAAATATGTGGTTAGTGCTATCTGGTTAAAAAAATTTAGTGTGTCTATGTAATGGAAACTAGGCCTATATCTGTGGACCACAATACATCTGTGATATCGGCTGATATATCATACTGTGCAGAATTATGACGATAATGCTAGAGAGAGATAATGGACGTTAATGTATACCAAAGGTCTGTGGCAGAGACTCCTGGCTCCAGTAGTACCAAAAGTGGGCATGGCACACTTGACTGCACTCTGTGCTTTCACTCGCAAAAATAGAGCCATTTCTTTAATTCAAAGATTGGTGTGATTGTGTTTGTCTTCATGTTCTCAGTCATCCAGGTGAAGGAGTGATTCAGCTCATCTCAGTGGCGCGATCCGGCAGTTTGGGCATCACCATCGGAGGAGGCTCCAATAGGCCCGACGGCCCGGCGGTCTTCATTCAGGAAGTGCTGTCTGGAGGCGACTGTCACCGAGTAAGAAACCAAGGCAGAGTGAAATAAAACCCCAAAGCTGAATATACAGAAAGGGAGGAAAAGACAGGGTGTAGCAAAGCGAGTAATTTCCCCTCTTGTGTAAATCAGAAATAAACACTGGCAAGACAAAAAAAATTCAACAGTGTTTCAACAGATTTTAAAAAATATATATATTTCAGAAATTCCTCTGTGTACCACAAGAGGCACCTAGCGTACCACCAGTGGTATACATATCATAGTTAAAGAACCAGTACCTTACAGAATTGTATGTAGTATGAATAATATTGTCACTTGAGTAACCTGGCACATTCAGAACTGGAAGGATATCTGGAAACATGACTGAGATTGATGTAGTGCAGCAGTGAGGGACTTCTTGTAGGGAAATGAAGTGAACATGATGGAGGAAGGTAGAGGGCTGAAGAGGGGAAGTAAGGAGTGCATGTGCAGACCTCTGCAGCTTTGGCCTCAGATTAGTGTAAAATACTTGCTGAGCTATGCTCAGGTCACAGCCTGCCGGTCCTGTTTTGGTGACTTTCTGTCTAAAACAGACACAGAGTAACAGCCCATCACCTCCAGCCACATAGTGGTCACAGATATGTATAATCATCTATCTCAAACATGGCACAGGCTTTTACATGTACCTTAACATGATTAGGGGAGCAAGACAAAACATTTTTGTCTTAGTTGAGGTCCTGCCTCAACATTTTTACATTTGCATTAGAGACATTCTCCTGACACATCAGGGCTTTAGTATTCAGACAGAAACTCTGGTGATAAAGTGAGAGCTAATGATGCTCTTAGTCTCAGTGTCACAGGGGTCTTTTACTACTGCTGAAATGGTGTTAATTGGGACTTAAGTTGGGTGACTGCTGTAGGTTGCCAATACTCCTTATTGGGGTTAATAATATTAGGTTAAGAAGCACGGATGTAGTAGTGTAGAGCTATTTGAGCTTCTTTCTGCTAGATAAAGACGCACTTAGTAATTAGCTGTCTTTATTGGATCTACAATAAAGACAGCCAGCCAGTTTGACAGTTCAGTCTTCATACTTGACACAGCAGTGGACAAAACAATCCTAGCCTCCTAACTCCAAAGGTCTTAACTCGATTTTGTTTTTTGAGCTGTAAAATAAATTATATGACTGTAATGTTATGAAACACATCAATGCTGGTGTTAATATTAACATTCCAAATCAGAATGTCAAGGGCATGCCCTCTACTGTTTTAAATCACCCAGAACCTTGTAAGGCGAGGCGGTTTAGTAGTAAAGTAGTCCACTTTACATCATGACATTTCTATAGAAGTGTTATCAGAGGAGGGCGGCCCACCTCCCCCAGCTTCTGCTTTGAGTCTGTGTTAATGCTAGTTTTGCTAACACTCTACTTTGTATTTTTCTATTCTGGTGCAGTGGTTCGGACTTGTACTTGTACGCTGTAGAAGCACCAGACTGCAAGACATACACACATACCAGACAGTTAGCATCTCTGAGCCATTAGCTACAGCACAGCTGGTTGCTTAGCGACAACACAGGTAGCACACAGAAACTGTTACAAACTGCCATGAATGTGCTTCTAGTGACTGAAAAATCTCCAGCGGACTCTGTGTTTCCAGCACGGACACAGAGAGTCTGACAGCAGCTGCTCATTAGCTCTGACTACCAGCTCACTGTTCCTGCTACACTGCTGTGGTCAGTCTGTCAATCATTTT